TTTCTTGAAATTTTAATTGGAATTTTATTGAATTTATAGATTAATTTGGGGATAATTGCCATCTTTATGTAATTGATACTTGGTACTCATGACTATGGCACACCTATTTACTTAGATCTTCTTTTAGTCTTTCAATAAAGTTATAAAATTTTCTCCATAAATGTCTTACAGCTTTTTGATGTATTTATTCCTAGATCCCTTGGAGGGTATCAAAATGTTTTTGTTATCGCTATTATGAATGAGATTTTTAATTTGATGATTGCCAGTGTATAGGAATATGTCAATCATGTATCTAGCAACCATGTTAAGGTCTCTTTCTGATTACTTCTTCTAAATGGTTTTTGTTTTGACAAAAAAACAAAAATTGTATAAAATAAATAGTTTATAGAACTATTGTATGATGAATATCCTTATATAACCAACCATATGAGGATATAAAACTTTGCCAATTACCCCAATTATCTACATGATTCTTCTAGAATCTCCTTTACTCTCTAAGAGTGACTGCTGTCCTGGTTTATGCTAAACACTTCCTTAATTTTCTTGGCAGTGTTAGCACACCCATTTCCAATGCAAAAAAAAAAATGGTGGGGAGAAAAAAAAGAAAGCAAAATCTAGCCACATGGAACCACTGGAATCCTGATAATGATTAATGATTTAGGTAGGGTGACCAGATTTTAACATCGGTAAGGTGGGACAACATGGTGGGGGGGAAGGGTCGGGGCAGGGCAGGGCCTGACAACAATGCAAACTTTGATAAGCAGTTCTCGATAATCACTTCTCAGCAACTATTTGTTATTATTACAGTTTAACATTATAAAATTAACAAAAATAATATGAAACTCATATTCTGGCGAAATAGCCACATGGCAGTCGAAAACTGTATATTCCCTTCTTGTTCTCCCACCCATTTGTGCATTCTTTCCAAAAATCGGGACTTTTTTAAAACGCCCCGGGACGCGGGACAAATTGTTGGCAAGCGGGACTGTCCGGCCAAAAGCAGGACGTCTGGTCACCCTAGATTTAGGAGACACTGACTCCAGTGATGACTTAGATAAATAGAGACTTAAGGCATCTGGTACTGGCTTCTGGGTAGAATGGACCCAAAGCCATTCTAAAGAGTCTGTTGGATTACAAATCTAGAGATTCTGTGGAGGGTGAGTTGCAAACCCCTTATGAAGCATATGAGGAAACTGTAACTCTATCTGAAC